AAAGAGACTGAAAGCCATTCATCATGGTCAAATCTATCAGAAACGAATGATCCGAGCACATGACAAAAAGGTGCGCCCGAGAATGTTCCGCGAAGGGGATCTAGTGCTAAAAGAATTTGGCCAGTCCATAAAGATGTCCGAGGAAAATGGACGCCAAATTGGGAAGGACCTTATGTCGTGAAAAAGGCTTTCTCCGGAGGAGCCCTCGTCCTGGCTGAAATGGACGGACCTGAACTACCACATCCCATCAACTCGGACGCAGTCAAGAAATACTTCGCTTAGGATGAAAACCCGAGAGGGCATCCTAAGTTGAAAAAAAAAAAAAAAAAAAAAACGTTTAGGGTGAAAACCCGAAAGGGCGCCCTAAATTGAAAACAGAAAAAAGGAAAAGAAGAGAAAATAAGGTGGGTTCAAGATGAAAACCCGCAAAGGGTGTCTTGCAACTAAGGATGGGTCCCAAGTTGAAAACCCGGAAGGGCAATTTGGATATCAACGGTGGAAACATCCCGGCACATGAATCTTCTACGAACCCAACAAATCGGAGAAATGTCGCACCCTCCCAAACGTTGTCGCATTTTCAAAGATCCTTTGGCAAAGGCTGCACTCAAAGTCACCAAACGGCTTTTCAACTCAGAAGTGCCCACGTTATCGAGATCTAAGACATTCATTTACACATCATTGTGTATTCGTTTTCTAGAATGTTTGCCATGTATTATTTGTTCTTCTCCTCCCTTATGAATAAGACCATCTTTCCTCCAATACCTTTTGAGCATCTTGAATTAGATTTAACCTAATGGTTTATTATTTTTATGAAAGATAATCGCATATTGCGTGCAAAGATTCATTGAAAAGTACAGGTACCAGAAGCCGATCAAGGCTCATGCACATGCTTGAGATGGTTGAGGAGCATCTTCAAAAGAAAAAAAAAAAATCATCAAACATTTGAAGAATTCAAGATCAGAGATCGGAACTTCAAGCTCAAGAATCAACAACGACAGGCCACCGGAGATCGAGATACTCTCCAAAGCTCAGAATAACATATGTTGCATATGCATTTTAGGCATACCTAAGAGCATGACATCCATACCATCACATATATGCATATCTTTGCAGGTTTTACCAAGCGCCAATTTCAACTTCACAACGAAGGATATTGGACTCCAGACAACGTAAGTTCAACTCCACGACGAAGGGACCGCTGGTTGTCAAAACATTTCTCAATCTCAAGAGCCAATTTCAACTTCACAACGAAGGATATTGGACTCCAGACAACGTAAGTTCAACTTCACGACGAAGGGACCGCTGGTTGTCAACAAACATTTCTCAATCTCAAGAGCCAATTTCAACTTCACAACGAAGGATATTGGACTCCAGACAACGTAAGTTCAACTTCACGACGAAGGGACCGCTGGTTGTCAACAAACATTTCTCAATTTCAGAGCCAATTTCAACTTCACAACGGAGGATATTGGACTCCAGACAACGTAAGTTCAACTTCACGACGAAGGGACCGCTGGTTGTCAACAAACATCTTCTCAATTTCAGAGCCAATTTCAACTTCACAGCGAAGGATATTGGACTCCAGACAACGCAAGTTCAACTTCACGACGAAGGGACCGCTGGTTGTCAACAAACAATTTCCCAGTTCCAGAACCAATTTCAACTTCACGACGGAGGATATTGGACTCGGAACATACTACTCACTTGGATTTCAACTTCACGACGAAGGATATCCAGTTCCCAGGCTCAACCTCACGACGAAGGGGCCATATACAATTCCAACTTCACAAACAGATTGACCCAACTTCACGACGAAGGAGTCATCTGTAACACCCCGACACCAAAGTCTTCAGGTCAAGTTTTACCTTCGCGATGAAGTATCTTGAGCCAGAAGACGGTTCAGAGGCCACTTACCAAAAGCTTTGAGCTCATTTTCAACTTCACGACGAGGGATTTCGTGCTTGAAATATTCGAGTTTTGACTCACCTCATGACGAGAGAGTCATTTCGTGATTGACAAACCATTTTCAGCATCGGGTTTCAACTCTACGACTGAGGATAGTCGAGGTGGACGAAATATGTGTCTTTTAATCTTTGCTCTATTTTCGTTACACGATAATGAGCAAAGAGGGGCAGCTGTAGACACACTTTTTTGACCGGAACATACATATATACATATTATATATATTATATATGTAATATTATTATTTATTACTGAATATATATATTTTGACATTTACAGGCTCAATACATCAACATCCCAGCAGTCCGTTTGGCAGACCCAAATTCACGTGGGCGGCCCAGCAACAGCTTCCAAGCTTAACCCGTGCAGACTCAGGGTTGCCAGAAACCCTAACCCCACCGTCCAAGCCAGCGCCGCAAGCTTCCTTCGCCTAAGATAACGCCTCCTCATTTCACGGAGCCAACATCAACAACACCAATGACGTGTTTAGTAGGATTCCATCACCAACAAACAAAAGTAGTAGAGTTTGATTAGGACACAAAGATGTCATTTTTTTGTGTATAAATATCAGACGATGTAGGCATTACAGGGGGGGGAAAAAAAGCAAAAAAGGAATCACACGAAAATCTCAGAGAAAATAGCAAGAAACATTTGTATTTTTTGAGAAGGATTTTTTTTTTCCAGAAGATAATACCAGAGAGCCTTAGACAAAAAAAACTCAAAAATCCACGAAGCAAACCAGAGTTCTTGTAATCGTTCGAAAGGAAATAAAAAGGTAGCAGTGTTTTTACCTTGTCCATCCGTTTTTGTTGCCTTTGCATGTTGATTTCTAGACCTTGTACTGTGTTTGATTCGAAAGACGACCAAGAAAAAAGAAAAACGTTTTTCAGCCGATGAACGAGGAGAGAGTTTCAAAACTTTGAAGCTAGATCTACTCCCTGAGGCTCGTCATTTGTTGGATTTTTTTTTATTTTTGAGAAGTGTGGATAAGGGGCTTTCGAACTGTAAAAAATAAGTTTTTTTTGCCGCCGATGAACGGCGGCCGTCGCCGTTCAACGGCGGCGGCGAGGCGGCGCTCGGAGGCCAAAGGCCGGATTCTGGAAAACTTGGCCCATGTTCTTCATGGCTGAAGAACAATGGCGATATAGAAAGGAGAGAAGGAGACAAGGGTTTTTTTTTTTGATTTCTGAAGGAAGGAATGAAACTGAAATTGGTTTTTTTTTTTGAGTCATATATTAAGCCCATTCGACCCACGTGGACCATGACCGGATCCACGTGCTTTCACGCAAAATGGGAGCAATCTCAGTTTTAGTCCTTTTATTTTAAATCCTTCCATTTTCATCCCCAAACTGAATTTAACCATCCGCGTGTTTCTATCTAAAATAGGGTAAACTACCCTTTTGATCCCTGTTACCTCGAAAAAAGCCGTTTTCCCCCCCTCAAATCGAAATTAACCCTTCATATTGCTTTGGAATTTTGACCTCTAGCCTGCAGTTCTTTCATTTTAATCCTTTCTCTGGATTTTAATTTTAATTATCTTTCTATATTACATTATAATATTTGTATATATTTTATATCCTTATTAGTTTTTTTTTATACACTCGTATATATGTATTATTAGAATAGTATTATTTCACTTATATGTTATATTATATATATATATATATATGTATATATGTACACATTTTGTATTTTACCCTATTTGTTTACTTCTTTATTATTATATTTATTTACATTAGTTTTAATTATCTTTTTATATTACATTATAATATTTATATATATTTTATACTATTATTAGTTTTTTATACATTCGTATACATTTATTATTAGTATAGTATTATTTCATTTATGTGTTATATTATATATATATATGTATATATGTACACATTTTGTATTTTACCCTATTTTTTTACTTCTTTATTATTATATTTATTTACATTATTTATTTTTTTCTATTATTATTATATTTTTTCCTCCCTCTTATATTTAGCTATTATAAATGGTATTAATGTATTATATGTTTGTATTAACTTATGTGTTTTACTTTATACGCTATTATGTTACAATTTTTTTTTTTTTTTTCTATTATTGTTATATATATATTTTCTTATTTATTTTCATTATTTTTTTATTATTATTTACATGTACATATTTGATTATGGTGATTTATTTTAGTTTGTAGTTTTATTATTTATTACTATTATATATCTTTTTATTTTTCCCATTGTTTATATCTTTATCATTATACCACCATATACATTATTTTATACTCTGTATTTTCCTCATCTTATTTGTTTTCCATTTTACCTTAGGTGTTTTATTTGCATTCTTTATCTAATATGTGTCTTGATTTTCTAAGGGTACAATTTAAGCAATCTAAGGTAAGTAATTTGGATCGTCATTTTACATTTTAATTTAAATTTAAAACTTTCTTAATTAAAGACAACTGGAAATTATATAGTACCGAAAGGGCAGTTCAAGGGTGCTAATCCTTCCTTAGCTGTAACCGACTCCCGAATCCGACATATCTTTGGTAAGACGCAGATCAGGTAAGGTATAAGGTATCCGATTAACCTATTTATTTTAAATAAATAATCGGTGGCGACTCCAATCCATATTTTTTAAGTCGAAGCCCAATTCCGGGGCCCAACCGAAAGACGGTTACGACACTAGGGGTTCAGGTTCAGGAAATTTAGAAGCCTGTTTCCCGAACATGTTGATTCCAGTGGATTCACAAGACATGGCTTGTGGTTTGGGTTCAAAAAGTTTAGAAGCCTGTTTTTCGGAGATGTTGATTTCAGAGTGTTCAAAAGGCATGTTTTGAGGTTCAGGATCAGGATGGTTAGGCTTTTCGTCATTAACGAGGTCAATATTTTCTGCATCACCAAACAATTTTTGTGACTTAAGATCAGAACTCATGGTGTGGTGTACAGCTCGAGACTTCAGATTTACAGTCTCAGTAACCAGCAAAGTAGAGGTAAAGGTCGAAAGCACTAGCTCAAATGCTTTAGGTGCATTTATGTTATTATCTGGTGCTTTCATCGGTTTGAAGGCTTCAAATCCAACAGGTTTACCATTCTGCAATCCGGATGAGGTCTTGCAGGTTCTTGTCCTAGGGGAAGACTGGTGTCATTTATCAGCGAGTTACTAGCTGGAGGAATTAGACTGGAAGAAGATTGGCTTCCATTAGCAGCCGTGGCACTAGACTGAAGCCTTATATCTATACCTTGATCCGGAAGTTTAGGTGTGCCATTCTTATGCTCAATTGGCTTCTCAGTTTTCCCTGATGTAGGACTCACAGGAAGGAGATGACCTCGCAGGGGAAAAGGATCTCTTTTCTTTTGTACATCTTAGCCACAACATTTGAGGCAGTAATGAGAGTGAATCGCCCGGAAAGAAATACAACACCTCGAAGATGTGTGTTGGTCTCACGTATCTTAACGTTCAGAAGATATCCAGCATCGAATGAACCTTGGATGACACCAGAAGCCATGTTGCCCACCATGTCATCAGATTCAGAGGTAGAGTTACTGGTTTCTAAACTATGTTTGTTTTTGTTCAGAATTTCAGATGCTGGTGTCACAGGTGAGTTGTCCCCTCCAATGATCTCATTCTTTCAGTGGACGCCCACGCTTCCGCCACATAGGGGGCTCCGATGCAGAGGATAAGCTAACCCCTTGATTCTTGCACCTCATCCTGCGCAACACATTTGTCAATTCCTTTTGCAATAAATTTCCCGAGGTTACCTGCAATTGGAAATCAATTAGTCATCAATATCAATACAGAATGCATTAGAAAATTGGTACAAAACTGCAGTTGATCAACAATCACTAATACTAACAGAGAATATAATTTCAGGAAATCCTGTGGACACTACAAACCGGTTAGATTCGAACAGCAATAATATCACATAATCGATGAATGAGCCATTGTTGATGAACTACGATCATACAAGTCTTCAGTTGACACAATCCCGGGACACCTAAGCAAACCAGATACGCATTCCGTACATGTTTTGCCTAATTCTCAACGAAGAATACATAATTAAGCTCCTTGAAATTTCATTAATTCATTCTTTCAATCAGTATTGATGATTACAGTTAATATTTCCCTCTCAAATCAATAAGAAGAGGGTTCCAACTTAAGGAATGGCCTCTTGTAGGAAGATTCAACAGCAATTCCATTTTACGATATAGATTCTTAATGAAGATTGAGCAAGTTCATGTTTCTTTGCCTCTTTTATCAATTACTGAAGAAAGCAATTGTCTAATGTAGCCAGCCGTCCTAGTTTGCCCTTTCCTCTAATTTGTTCCATTGCAACGATGCTTCATGCCTATGCGAACTTGGTCCCTTCATTTACAATACATCTACTTGGAGGGATATTAACATACACGGTGCTTCACAATTAAGGTATTTCACCTACATGCTTCCTTTAAAACATATTGAATTTCTTATACTATCATTTGATCTTAAGTATTTGGAATTAACAATCTAACTACTCTACAAACAAATCACATGACTGTCGACAAGGGATTGAACTACGTTGATGGTGAAAGGGGTTTAGGTTTAACTCGAACTTTTCTTAAATTTGCTAATTTAATTACATTTTAGGTCTTTTTTTCAAATTAGATAACTTAAGTCCTAGTCTCTATTTTTGCTTAAATATTTCTTTGGTACCTACTGATTTCAAAATTGAACAATTTATCCCCACCTATCATTGATGGTGATAATATCTAAGATAAAATACATCATAGGTCCCTAAATATTTTCAGATCATTTTTCGTTCATTGAATTTTCAAAAGTATAAAACGGTCATTAAATCCCGTGATGTTTTTATAATCATGGATTTTGATAAATTTAATTGTTTTTATAACATTTCAATAAATTTAATGATCGTTTTGTAACAATTTGATAAAAGTTAATGATCATTTTTTATAATAGTTTAGTAAGTTTAATGATCATTTTATGACAATTTAATAAGTTTGATGATCATTTTATAATTTTGAAAAGTTCAATGAAAAAAACAATTTGAATAGTTTAATAATCCAGGGTGTGGTATAGCCTAATATATATATGGCACTTACGTAAGTACCTGCGACATACTCCATGCCAGCCTCCATTTATTTATTTATTAGCCAAAACCTGAATAAATTAATTAATTAATAAGGAAAATGAAGTAATTAACAAGTGGCGCATGCTGTATTAGAGCAAAGCATGTCAGTTTTCACAGTGACGAAAGGCCAAGCGACACCTTATCACTACCATATAATTAATTCCTTCCCTCCCAAGTCAATCTTACTTCACATGCACAGCTTCATCACTATATCCTATAAAGATTGCTTCCATCCCAAGTGACAACCATCTCTTCTTCCCCCACTTTCTCTCAACATTTTCTCGGTCGTAAAAAATTTTTCCCCAGAAAAGAAAACATGGCCGTTTTGAAGAGGTCATATGGGTACTCAAAGGTGGATAAAGAAGACCCGGATGAGATAATTCATCGAAGAGCTCAGTTCTTGATATTCAAAGCGCTGGAGAAAGTGGATTCCAGGAGAAAACCATCGTTCATACCAATCAGATTGTGTAGGTTGAAGGTGAAGATCGGGAGAAAATTGAAGAAGCTAAGGAAAGCTGCGATGGTTAGTGTTTCTGGTTTAAGAATCGGCGCCTACGAACATGTTTTGCATCAGTTGAAAACTCGGAGGCGATTGTTTAACCGTGGTGGTGGTGATCATGGAACCAATGCCACCTTTCCTCGTCCTTTGTTCACTTAAAACATTACACGCACGTACGTATTTATAATTATATATAAACGAGATTTTCTCTTTATTTGTTAAATAGGAGAGTGATCACGTTGTCTTCATCTTGGAATAACGAGTTATTTTCTGCTTATTATTATTTTCATAATGTTGTCTGCATTTTCTCATTTGTGCAACCCGAAACCATAGTTCTACCGCGGATGTAAGTTGTCCGGAAATTGATATTAATTGAAGATTTACTATAATGATTTTGTTATTCTATTTGTAATTTGACTACTGATTAATTTGTTAAATATTGTATATCTTCTTTGTTAGAATTATTTAAATTATCATTTTTCGCGTTCCATAAAACAATATTACATTACATGTTAAGCTCTTACTAGTGGATTTCTTTTATAAACGGAGAAGAAATAATAATTTAGGTAATTGTTTGACAAACAAAAATTATGTGCTTTAATGGGACAATGTATATAGTTTAGGGGTTGATTTCACTTTAAGCCAAAATGTCTAAATTCAACAATAATATTAAAGGTTCATTGCACCAAACTAAGCCTATTCCTTAACGACAGAGTATTTTAAATGTATTAGGTATTTAAGGAATTAACATATATTGATTAAATTATTTTTTAATAATTTATATGATTATAAGATATTATTTGTTCATAATTTTTTTTATTTAATTGATTATGCACACATACCCTATAGATATTTAATTTTCAATCTTTTTAGTTTTATATAGATTTACGATTTTTGAATAAGTGAAAATAAACGATTAAGATTAACTCATTTTTTTAATTAATATATTCTCATTTTTTTACTATTAATCTCACTACTACAAAATAGGTTTGTAGCGACGTTTTGAGAAAAAAAGGCCACTAAATTTACACCTAACTTGATATTTATAAATAAAATGCCACAAAATGATAACATTGGAAGTATTTTTTAAAAATGTCGTAATAGACACATCGTTTGTGACATTTTTTTAACAAATACCACAATAAGATACATAGTTTGTGACATTTTTTAACAAACACCGCAATATGATATATAGTTAGTGGCTTTTTTAACTAACACAATTATTTCAGCTCATTAGTGGCGTTTATTTTTAAAAACTCCGCACCGTTAAAAACTTTTATATCCTTAACCCATGAAACTGCTGTTTCCCCTTCTCTCATTTTCCTTAAATTCTCACCGCCGTTTACAGACTCACGGAACTGCTGTAGGTCGCCAGTGTTCATTGCTGTTCGCCGCCGTTGTCACCTCTCGATCGCCTTTCAGGTATTTTTTTGTCTGCCGAAACTTAACCAAATCATTGAAATTGATTAACATTTGCTGTTTGTCCATGCTTGAATTGAGTGAGTGGGTTTGCTCGAATTGAATGGGTTTACACGAATTGATCTCGATCGCCAGTGTTTGTCCATGCCGGAACTGATGTTGGTATTGTTGTAAAAGAATAATGCTTGGTTTTGCTGTTGGTTTTGCATAATGAATGGGTTTATCCACAAATGCTTCAATTCATACTTTTATAATTTCTGTAAGTTATATCCAGTGTTTTATCTGCAACTTGAGCACGTAGTTTACAATTCTTTTTGCTTCATCAATCGATTATAGCACGCTGTTTCTCAACAATTTGCTTGACTTTATAGTCTTCAATTTCTTCGTTTTTGATCTTCTTAGCTTTTGCTGCAGATATTAGAGAGCTTGCGTTGCCTGTTTTCTTGTAATTCTAGTGATAAATCGTCACCGGGTTGAGTATATATATTTCATCATTTTTAAACTAATTTCAATCAATTGGTGGTAAAGGAGACGAGGATTGATTTTATTCATAAGATTTGTGAGGAGAACAATGTAGCCATTTGTGTCCAAGTGAACTTCTTTGAACCATATAATATTATTTTAACTCTTTTGAAAAATATAATAATGTGATTGAATTATCATGTACTAAAAGTAATTAAAAAACATTTTATAAAAAATTATCAAATAATATAAAATGGATAAAATTGTCAAACTAAAATTATCATGTACTAAAAGTGTATATACTTCTTGCTTATGCAAATTTGGTCCCTATTATATTACATGTTTTTTTTTATATAAATATTGCCTTGACGTTTATAGCTAACCTTTTGATTAATGCTGTCTTTGTTATACTGTGGCGTTGGAGTATATTGTAATACCAACAGTCATATATTGATGGTTTTTTTAGGGGCGGGGACGGTTTTACATTACTCATTCTGTCCCAATATTATATGTTTTGGGGATTTTTTTCCTCTATACTCATCCCTTGCGGATCCCTGCAGGTTTCGGTTAATCTCATCACAAAAAATAAACAAATATTTTTAAAATCAATACAACACCTAAAACTTGTAAGATATATCAAATTGTCTCAAATTGATCTCTATCTATAATATGAAAGTTTCAAACGTTAATATTCATCTAACACTCAATGTATATGTACAATCTTAACCATTTTCAATCTCAACAAATCAATGTATATTAAATGAAAAAAAGATATAAACTTCAATTTTAGTTCTTTTCAGATGTAACAATGACAACACGTAATCTCACAGATATTTTCGAGGATCCCCATGGTTATTTTTGTAAAATATCGGGGATCCCTACTATTATTTTTTGGGGATCCCCACAGTTATTCACACGGGTATAGTTCGGTTATCCAAGGTTCAGATATAGCAATCTCCGTCACCATCCCCAGTTCAATGGACGAAGATTTCGGTTATTCTCCATCCCGTTGGTTCGGATCCCCACGTTTTCGATTTTTCCCACCCGATTGTCACCCCTAATTTTTTAATATATAGGATAATTATATTTGTTTATAATTTTTAAATTTATCGATGATACACATATATTTTATATTATTACTCGAACTTAAAATTTTTATGCATATCAACATTATCTTTTACTAATCGACAGAATTATATAAAAAAAGAATCATCTTAATTTATAATCTTTCACCAAAATCAATAATATATATAAATGGATATATTTATTATGAAGTTATAATATAAAAAACATAACATATAAATGAAATGTAATTTATAAAAGAGAAAATCGCCTCAGTGACCAAAAAAAAGTTATAATATACGATTTTAACCAACTTTTTTTGGATTTGCCAAAATGACCAACAAAATCGCAACGCGAAATAAAAATCGCAACGCGATCCCCAGAATCGCAAATCAGTTTCCAGAATCGCAACGCGATTCTTGAAAATCGCGATGCGATAGTACAAATTCGCATTGCGATTTTCCATAATCGCAACGCGAATATGAAAATCGCAACGCGAACACATAAATCGCAACGCGTATCCGTAAATCGCAACGTGTATCCGTAAATCGCAACGCGTATGGGTAAATCGCAATGCGTATCCGTATATCGCAACGCGTATCCGTAAATCGCAACGCGTATCCGTAAACCGCAACGTGTATCCGTAAATCGCAACGCGTATCCGTAAATCGCAATGCGTATCCGTAAATCGCAACGCGTATCCGTAAATCGCAACGATAATCCGTAAATCGCAACGCGTATCCGTAAATCGCAACGATAATCCGTAAATCGCAACGAGAATCTGTAAATCGCAACGATAATCCGTAAATCGCAACGAGAATCTGTAAATCACAACACTGAAATTTTGGGTATATAACACTGAAATCATAAACTAAATCCCTAAATCGCAACTCATTCCATCTCCATCTATCACTCTCTCCGGCGACATCCGTTCCTATATCCAACGACATCCTTCCCCATCCGGCAACAGGTCTTAGTTTCGCATCTCGTTTGTTTAGTTACAACCATGAAATCATCTAATGTTGATCATGTTTGGATAGATTTGTGTTTTGGAGGGTCATGGGATAATGTTAATGGTGTTTTACAATATATGCCTTTACCCATAAATCTTCAACTAAAATTGTCTTTACAAAAGTTAACTTATGAAACTCTAATGCTACGTGTTTCAAATAAATTGAATTTAGAGCCCCTAAGTGGATTTAGGCTATCTTATCAGAGAAATGGTAAAGTTATTTGTTAACCGACAATGAAGATGTTGAACGATTCATTGCTTACATTAGTGTTTCACAAGATGATGTTACATTGTATGTTGTTGAACCTAGAAGTAGTATTGTTGGGTCAGTAGCGGTAGTAATCAACTAAGTTTTTCTCAAAACCCACAACCTTTCTCTAATCCAATCCCAATCAACTTTCAGCACCAAATTCCAGTTTTCGTATTGACCAGTTAGACGATGATGAGCCAACAGAAAAAATTGTGAGTACTAGTCAGTATTCGAAATTTGGTCTTGGTCAATATCCGGACTTTGATATTGGTCAATACACGGATTTTGATGATGTTTCAGAAGAAGAAACAGACCATGCGTGTAATGATATTGATATTGGTCAATACCCGAATTTTGATGATGAAACAGCCGTTGCCGAAGAATGTAATGTTGATGATAATGAGGAGGAAGTTACGACTGTGAATGAACATGTTGAACATCCATTCTGTAATTCATATAATCCTGAAGAAGAAAAGAAGAAGAAAAAGTCCCCGAAGAAAAGAAAATGCCACGGGCGTATAACTGGAATATGCCAGAATTACTTCAGATACCGGAAGAAGAGTTGATAAAGAAAGCAGTTGATTGTTACACAAAAGTTATTCGTATCAAGAAAGATGATTGTTTTGATACAAAGGAAGACTTGAAGATAGCTTTATATACGAAATGTGTGGAAGATGGCTATCAACTAAAAGTTAACAAATCAAGCAAAGATCGTTTCGAAACAAGGTGTATGATTGACAAAAACTGTACGTGGCGTATGATTGCAAAGAGAATAAAAGATTGCAAAATGTTTCAAGTTAGGACTTTTATTGATAAACATACATGTTCAAGAACCCAAGTTTTTCCTCACCATAGACAGGCAAACAAAAAGGTGTTGGGTGGTTTTCTGGCTGAGTTAATGTTTTTGAATGGCAGGGTATATCGGGGACATGAAATTATGACTGACATGAATGCTCGGTTCAAGATTAGTATCATATTCTCAAGCTTGGAGAGCCAAATGTTATGCCTTGGAATTGTTGAGGGGGTCGCCAGAAGCATCGTTTGCCCAACTGCCGGCTTATTG